CAAAACTGCCCAGAGCAAACTTACTTTGGTTTGAAGATGTTGGGTGGAGGAGCAGCAGAGACAGGAGGAGCAAAACCCTCTGCTGGAAGCTCGTACAACAGCTCTCCATTCCTACACAGATAAAAAGAGACAGAAACACACATTAGATCGTGGATTAAGTGAGTGACGATGCAAACTGTAACTAAGTAGCTATGTTAACCCATCTGTTTTGTTACTTACAGCATTCCAACACATCGCAGGTTCTGGTCGAGGCCTCCAGGAAGCCTCATCTCTGGTGCATCGTTATACTGGAGACACAAACACATACAGAAGGGGTGATTAGACAAGCTGCAATGGTGTCTGTCCACCAGGTGTCAGTATAGTCTCCCTTTAAATTGTACTATGAGCTGCTGTGTGTGGATTAAAACACATCTGGAGCATCTACCACACACAGGTATATAACCTTAATATGAATGAATATTTCGGCTGAGAGTCACAGAGGACTCATGTGAAGGTACAAAAAGCCAAACAAGGGCCAATGTAATGTATTAATGAGTCTCAACTTAAATCTCAGCTCCAACTCTGACTATTAAAAATGACCTTTCTACTGAAATAACATGCATCTGTGAACTGTTGGTTTTAGATTTCTGCTCATTAAAATCTGGATCTTTTTGGATGACAGACTAAAATTTCACTTAGAGAAATGTTGTTTTACTGATCTAATTAACCTCCCATTCAGTTTAACTTTAAGCTGTACTTGAGTTCAGTCTGACACCTGAAACTCACACTGCAACTAAGCTTCAGGAGCACACAGCTTCTATTTAAATTGTTATAAAATGTGTAATTTTTCGAATGGAATTTTGAACTGGAACGGCAGGATTAAGTCAAAACACATGTGTGTTTGTTCTGTACAAAGTGGTGACTGTTCCAGCCTTGACATCATTCTCCTACAGCGGTGGTTCTCCACCTGGGGTCTGGGGACCCCCAGGCATCTGTGAGGTGTTCCAAGGGGTCCAATGTGTATCAATCTGAGGGTCTTTGACACCAAAAAGTTTAAGAACCACTCTTGTACAGCAGTGCTACTCAACCTGCTGTCTGCTACAACTAAACAGTGACGATGTGCAGAGTGTGTGTGGTCAACCAGGGTCTCACTGTGTGTGGAGGAGCAGCAGGGTGACCGATGACTGCTGCTGCTGCCGAGACGTCAATTACAGGCCACCGGTTAGGCAGGTACTGTGGAGTAAGAGGGGAAAGGTTAACCCACCCATAATACAGACCAATGTACAGTTTCATAAGCCCAAACTCCCAGAGTATTCAAATCTTCAGCAAATATTATTATTGCTAACACACATTAAGCATTAACTGGAAACTTGTCACATAAAAGTGCATTCTTCTTTGGTTTCTTATCCAGTAAAGTGTCAAACCAGAACAAAGTTACAGCTGCAGTTGATTAAGCGTTTAATAAACTGTTTCCTGTGTTTGGTTCAATGTGATATGCGTCAAAACTCTCTTCACAGGAAATAGATATTTTGGACTGTAATGAGTAGGGGCTGCAACTAATGTTAAAGATATTCCTCATTGATTAATCTGAAGATTATTGTCTCGATCAACCATGTCCCAAAAAAATTGTCCAAAACCCAAAAGATAATCAGTAGTAGTTCTAAGATAGATCCAATCAATATTTGGCATTTTTGCTAGATAGAAATCACTTTAAGAGTCAACCTATAATCTAAACAGTTGCCAATTATTATTACAGCTTCACTTCACTGAGCTCTCTTCAGCTGTTGTACAATTCATTATTTGACACATGTGAAGGGAAGTGATCTTGCATTAATATGAGTATATTTTCTTTCTCTTATTTGGCATAAAGAATCCACCATTGACATGTTTCTGTATCAATAGGTACTGATCTACTTCTAATGCTACCTATCCCTAACCTTTACTTAGTATCTTACCTGTCCCTGGCTATAAACGCCTGCCTGGCTGTACAGGTGAGCTGGCTGCATGGTGTTTTCTTGAAACACTGGTCCACACAGATACATGGTGGGAGTGGACATCAGTAGACTTTGGTGCTCGAACATATGAGGAGCTGCTCTCATGGGGATACAGCCACCATATCCTCCACCCAGACTGTTAACTGGCTGAGGGTGGGTGTTGAGTTCCAGCCCAGCAGGTATGGGAGGAGGAGGTAGAGGGTTGGGCGTGTTGGCCAATACTTCTTGTAAGGCTGCCTGGAGAGTGGAAACCACATCTTTCCACTCCATCTCTTTTACAAAACGGTCAATCTCTGCACTGATATCCATTTCGGCGGCAGAGATGTGTTTGTTGTCTCTGAACTCGTCAAGAAGATAGATTATCTGATTGTCTTTAGTGGTTATTGGACTCCTGTCACACATATTGATAGGAAGTCAAATATCATATTATACTCATGTTGTATGTTTTAGTTCCGACATATATTTGACAGCTATGGTTTGAGTATATGGATTCTAAATGGATTTAACTACTCAACAATAATGTATATAACCCATATTGGAGTATTATTGACTTTTATCTCAGTAGGATTTGAAAGCAGCTAGGAGATTTACTTGTATTATGAAATATTTTGCATTAGTATTTTTATTTAAGTAAAATATAAAAATGAATATCAGTGGTATACACGGCTACTTTCTTCCACCACATTTCAGAGGCATACATTTATATTAGATACTCTTTCTTGTCCACTATATATATATTTATATTTATTTTAAATACTTTAAAGATCAAGATTTTACATAAAAACAAACTATGATTACCTTATAAAATGTAATGCCTTGTTATAGATTTAACTATCCCAACAGCTGATGCGTATAACACCGGTATTCTGTATAGAAGTATCTTCTTCGACCAGCTCCAACATTAAAATACTGCTTGCAAGTTCATGCACCAGGATTAATAATCTTATAATATATAATAATAGCCTATAACTCTGAGGGGAGCCCCTATGAGTACTTATACTTTCTTTACTTTAAGTGCAATACTTACTTACTTTTAGTTAAGTTAAATGTTGAATTTAGTTTAATTATATTTACATTATTAGAGGTATTAATGCGTTTATTGAGAAGGGTGTGAATAATCCCTCCATCAGTGCACCATGGGACATGAGTGTCACTGTATTAAAATGTCACACATACTGCTGCATAAACAACTAACAACAAGCTTTAGAGCAAATATTTAGCAGTGTGTGTCAGCTGAGAGCCAACATTATCCAAGCCTCCCCTCTGAGGGAAATATCTGTACTGCACTAACTGAATGTAAGTAGGACAGAAGTAACCTAACAGCTAGCAACTTAATTACTTACTTAACAGCGTTTGCGTTTACTGTCGATTCGGTTCGCTAGCCTGTCTGTATGTTGGTTTTGTCGCTCTGAATATATGTTATAAATGTTATATATGTTATATATTGTGTGTAGTTCACAAGGTGAACCCTGCTGCTGGCATTATTTCTGCTTCTAGAGTCTCTGCTTGTGTCGCACCTTCTAGAACGTTTGTTCGAATATTCCATTCTCTGACTCCATCCGTCAATCAGCCATAACCCGTTCATACAGTGCACTGGTAACCATTACAACCATTATCAGTGTGACCATGGAACAATCATTATTTCAGTAGCAATAATACACTTCATTGTGTACGACACTTTACACATAAGATGCAGATCAATATGATGTACATTAAAAAAATGATCATTAAAAAAAGAAAATGTTTAAAACAATGAAACAGATTAACAAATCACTTAAAGTGCAATAAAACGGAGCAAAAACACAAGATATTTCCGTAAGGTTTAATGGTAAACTGTAATGGAATTGTAATTAGCAGAGGTGAACTAATTGTATGCAACCTGTATGGCACTGCGTTATATTACCTCCACTGGAAGAGCACCCTAAGGACACTTTATGATGTTGTATCTATTATAGGGGCATCCAAGCATTTTTGCATTTACCCTCGCCTCCTCTGGTGCCCCCTGTAGTCAAAAAAATATAACAAATATGTCCAGAATTAAGGCGTGAACCACCATCAACAGACCACCGTCCCATTTACATAAGAAACAATTTGCAATGAGCATCATTAATATTATTTCACCTCACCATGAAACATGCCACTGTATAAGATGTTTGTAATGAGGAATATTCACAAGTCAGGTCCAAAGTCAAATCATGTCACATTTATCTTTGACGTTCCCATCCTTATTTCACAACTGTAAAAAACTGCAAATCTGGTAATTCTGTAAATGCAAAGTGCTCAAACATTCCACTGGCCACTGAGATGTTAGCTTGTGGTGTGGCTTGGAACTATTTATATCCACACAGTGTGTTTTTAATTAAAACTCAACTGTGGATGTTTTTGAATGAAAAAAGGTTCCCCCCCCCAAAGAGGTTT